TCGGTTCTGGACACGGCTTAACTTAGACGATTTATCGAACATACTTGGTTTCGATTATTCATCAACTGAAATAATTAATTCCGACTGAATAAAATCCATTGAAAAATAAATGGACCAGAATTAATAACTGGGATTGAATAACTGATAACTGGGCTCGAAACTCAAGACGAGCAGTATTAATAAAAAAAAATAGTTCAACTGGAAACTAAAAACTGTCTTTTTATTAATACAGAACTGGGCTATTACAGCTTGGGTATTGATGAACTCGGTTACCTCCGAGGTGGGTGGTGGTGTCGTTAGACAATGGTAAGATTTCAAGAAGTCGGTCATGTCGGGAAATCATAGCAAGCCGGTTGTAGTGTGATGTCGGTGAGAGCTTGAAAGGTGGGTTCTGTCAGTTCGTCACGTCGGTGGGAAGGCGCAATTCCGAGGTGAAGCGTAATTCCGGGGTCATGTGCCGTTTGCAAAGGAGGAGAGTTTCTGAGGCCATCCGACGTGCTTCATCTTTATCTTATCTTAAACCATAGGCATTACGGTTACATTATTTGTAACCCGTCTTTACTTGGAACTATATTCGAATTACCAAGTCGGTGGTCAACAACCCTCTTTTCAGGTTGAGCTGGTGACCGTGGCGAAAGACGAGCGAGGCGGGGTCATTATCTGATGTTGAATTTCTATTTACCTGCTTCCGCTTACGTATTATTGATTATCTCATTATTAGACTTGTTTTATTATCATGTGGAAACAGAACCATTGTTTTTTGAGATTTTTATCAAGCTTTGGATTTATGGAACTTGAATAATATTTGGAATCTGATTTGATTTGGATATTATTATTTTGTTGACCTGAATTTGGATATACCGCATGATGAATAAATGTTGTTCACATGAGATACTTGTTTCAGGATGGTCGTACCCGTTGTTTAAGTGATTGACTTAAACCGTTTTTATGTGAAAAATTGAGTAGCGCCCGTTAAATAAGCTTTAAATTGATTTTTGAAAAATCAACTCTGATTTTTGGAAAAATAAATTAGTATTTTCACTTAAAAATAATAGGGGCGTTACAAGTAACACCTCACTAATTAATATTGGTTCATTGCTTTTATATGATCTATCATTATCATCTTGTGCTTTCCACGAATACGTACTAGTTACGAAAAAATCGCATCTCGCATAATTACTTGTTCTAAATTTAGTAATTTTATCCCAATTTCTTTATTTATGAGAAATATGAAGGAATTAGTTACGGTCAATAAACCTTCTATTCTAGTATAAGTCGAATAGAACGGGTGAGAGAGCCAATAAGGTTATTTCAGAATTTTTATGGTGTTGTACAAGGTTCTCTTTTGTATAACATCCTCAAACAATTAGTTTAGCCGAACGGATATACCAAGACTGTATCAACAAGTGGTGGGACTTGCTGTTCACTTGTTGTAAATAATGTAGGTTGTAAAACCTCAAAAGCACGTACAACAAGAAATGATTTACCACCCCCACTCATTTGGGCATCTTTAACGGGCGGTTATGGTACATGTTTATAAATTCAAACCAGCAGGTTTAACCATTAAAGAACATAGCTTTAAGGTTTGAGAATGTAAGAGCATCTCCAATGGAGATTGTGTTGTATAACATGGAGAAAGGGAATTAAAAATTTTTGTCTCCAATGATTAGTGTATATTGTGGTGTCATTTGTGATGTGTAAAATTGTAATTGGTTGGAGAAGAGAGATAAATTAGATAAATAATATAATATATAATAGAAGTTGTTTAGAAGAACTTCTACATTTAGAAAGCCTTCGATATTTTTTCATACTACATCAGATTTTTTATACTATGCGGCAATAAAGTAAAGCAATGGAAAGATAATTGGAGATGCTCTAAACCGACTGTGTCCACTCTCTTGTATTTGCGTAGCCTAGTGTGAATTGATGTCTGCCAACATGTCCCACTTGCCTTTTCTTTTTTTTTTTTAACGAGTTTTTATTTATTTATTTGTTTTTTTTTAACGAAACGATTGGGGTATTATATATAATGCACAAATGTGCAGAAAGCAGCTACAAACTGATTACAACCAGCCAACAGCTGAGTACAAGCAGCCAATAGCTAAAAACTGGGAGAACAGGACAAAAGCCTGCCTAGAACCGACCCCAACGGGGTAAACTCAAAAACACTAAAAAAATACACCAACTAACAACACAAAGGCCTCATCAGGGCCATTCCCGAGTGTCGGACTCCAACAGAGTAATGAAAATGACACTCGGGCACACAGGGGTCAACGACCCAAACCAAAAACACAACCTAATCAACACCACAACACAAAACAAAACAGAGACAACCAACAGACTACAATAGAAAAAATAACAGAAAACACGAGAGCCCTTCCCAAGCAGAAAAACAACATCGAGCCCAACAACGGCAAAGTCTCGGTCCAGGATCCCAACCCAGAAACTGCAAGAGAACGCCTAACGGAGTCGAAACCCAATGGACCTAAACCATCGTCCAGACGAACAACTCTACTGTCACCCAGAGATGAAGACACCTGGCCAACCAACGCAACCCTGTCCGGCCCATCCTGACCCAGCCCAGCCCAGCCTAATCCGAACCAGCCCAGCCCAGTCCGAACCCAGCCCTGCCCAGCCCAATCCGAACCTAGCCCAGTCCAGACCGAACCCAGCCCAACCCAGCCTAATCGTTCACTATATGAAATAAATGTGCTAGGTGAACGAGTTGGTTAACTATAAATTTATAACTAGTATTCGGCCTTGTGCATTTGCACAAATATAAAGAAAGTATTATAAGTTATTTGAATGCATATAATATTTAAATTATAATTTAAATGCATATAATATTAAAATTATAAGTTAGATAATGATATTATGTTATAAAATTTGATCGTGGTTAAAATAAATATTACATAACAATTTGATTGCATATAAATCACTATATTGATTGCACAAATGTATGAATAATGTAATTTTTATAATTTTGAGGGATCATGACCAATTAATTAGCTGAAAAATATTAAATTTATTATAACAATTGCTTATGCGATTTTAAGAGATTTTAGTATGAAACTAAAATAGATTAATTTATTTAAAACAATCGCTTAATCAAATAAAAAAATATAATATTAATTTTAGAATAAATAACTTGAACAAAAAGTTATTACAACACAATTTTTATATTTATGTAACTTTCATATATCATTTAGTGTAAAATATAACTATTAATTTTAATAATAACTATTATATGACACAGTAAAAAATATAATTATTACTTAATTAATATAAAATATACAATTTTTTGTCTTAACTGANTGACCCATATATATATATATATATATATATATATATATTCTTATATTTTTTTGTTTTTTAAAAATAAAACTATGTATATATGTTTATATGGTAATTATTTATCATGAGATACATATTATCAATATGTACAAATTTTATACACAAAACATTAATTTTGTTACTTTTCTGTATATGACAAAAATACTCTATATATAATTTTAAAAATTTTAAAATTAATTATCTGGTTCAACAATTGACCTGGTGACCCGACGGTTGAACCAATGACCCAGAGACCTGTCCGGGTCGATTATCGGGTTGGGTTTAAAAACTATGCGTAACACTATATAATTATAAATAATTATATAAAATTATATTATTTTTTGATGTATTTATGATAAATATATGAAATATTTATATTTAATAAAAATAAAAGTAGAGTTATAATTTTAAATGTTAATAAAAATATAAGAGTAATTTGAATTAAAAGTAAGGAGGAAACATGTGGGACCTATAAAAAATGAGGTTTATAGGTTTTGTTGTTATTGGAGGTTTTATGAGTGTAGGTTTATATGGTAATTACTTATCATGAGATAGATATTATCAACATGTATAAATGTTATACACAAAACATTTAATTTTGTTACTTTTGTGTATATTTATATGACAAAATTACTCTATATATAATTTTAAAAATTTTAAAATTAATTATCCGGTTCCAATTGACCCGGTGACCCGACGGTTGAACAGGTGACCCAGAGACCTGTCCGGGTCGATTACCAGGCTGGGTTTAAAAACTATGCGTAACACTATATAATTATAAATAATTATATAAAATTATATTATTTTTTGATATATTTATGATAAATATATGAAATATTTACATTTAATAAAAATAAAAAGTAGAGTTATAATTTTAAATATTAATAAAAATATAAGAGTAATATGAATTAAAAAAGGGAAAACATGTGGGACCTATAAAAAATGAGGTTTATGAGGTTTGTTGTTATTGGAGGTTTTATGAGTGTATTAGTAAAGATGAAATTTTGAATGATGTGGCGTGTTAGAACGTGTAAAAGTGAGGTTTACGAAGGTTTATGAAATTCTATGGCTAAAGATGCTCTTAGTGTATCAGTTGTAATTCTCACTTTCAACATCTTTAAGTTTCAATTAAGGTGACCCAGAAATAAAGAGGAAGTTCAGAAAATAGAAATTCCTGAAACCTTGTCAAAGAGTATTATATGATTTCCTTCATATTATTATTGCAAACAAAATATGGAAATATGAAATGCCAGCATTTGTGTCTGCTCCTTCACTCCTTGTTTCTTGCTTTACTTGGAATTATGAATCAAACTTCGTAATCAGAACAAAAAAATATTTTCTTCAACCCTTTTGCACACATTAAGAGCTTATAGTTTGATCAGCCTGCACGAGCATAAGAAAAAGCATTGAACCCAAACAAAATTTACATG